AGCAATACAATCGCATTTGTAAATGCTGCATTTTGTTTTGTTAGTCACATTTCTATATAGTCTACTTTTTTTTTTTTTTAACCAATCTCTTTTTTATTTTTTAAACTAACATGGTCATTTAGTTATGCAAAATGACTGTAGTCAGGTGCGAATTCAGGATGTTAAGCCAGCACAGGTAGCCGTAATAAAATATTAAGAGCTCGTTTGATGTCATTTTTTTGCAAAAAAAAAATGTATTTTGAAATAGTGATTTGATGGAGAATGTGTAGTTAAAAATAATAAAAAATTTTGAATTTACGTGTAATATTATTTTATTAAAGAATATTTGATCAAAAATAAAGGAAAGAAAAATGTATTCTGAACTAAATGGGAATCAAACAAAACTTAAAATTTAAATAAAATAATTATTTTGTTGAAATTGAACATATATAATTTTGTTATAGAATAAATCATACTCACCAAATGACATTATTGCTTTGTATAACTCAAAGGAAGAACATGGTGTTTGAATTTTTACAATTGCATAAAAACCACTAAAATGTTACATATATTATTTTGATAAACTTTGTATCACAACTCATCAAGTGTTATAGTGGTCAAGCTTTAACTATATTCAAGAATAGCTCACAGGTTCGATTCTCCACTGGCCCCTTTCCTTATTTCAGTGGTTTTTGGTCAAAATTGTATAACTAAAAAAGCAAAAAGAAGCGCCAACCAACTTGGCTAGAAGAAACATTGGTAAGAAAAATAACTTACTAGTAATATAAACTATACATTTGTCTGTTCTCAGCCAAAAAAAAAAAAAAATGGCTCCTGGCGGATCCAGCACGCTCGGCCGCGGGGGCTCGCCGAGTGCTGATCCGCCAGTGACTGTAGTGCAATTTTATCAAAGTGTACTCTAGGGAAATTTAAATAAAAGCTGTCGAGGAAGACTAGAATGTCTAAATGGACCAAAAATTCTCGTCAACTTTGATTATTGTGACGAGAATATCTAAAAGATTCGAAACGTACGCAAAAATGAAGAGACAATGAGTCTGGATGGATTTGAAATTCTCATTAACATTTCCAAATTTGACAATGATGCCTAGCTAGTTGGTTTAAAATGAGAAAGGCCCTTGGTATAGGGGCCCTGTAATATAGGGGACTGAGCTGGCCCCCTGTTTGATAGGGCCTTGTAGCAGGGCCCGTTCAAAATTAGGGCGAAAAGGAAGTGAGAGAAATTGGCAATTTACATATTTACTTATAAGCAAATTTATTTTTTATCTACTACATGTTTGGATAACTTGTTACTTTGAAGGTGAAAATATTACTTCGTAATGTTACACTTATATTACTATCAAAATAACATTAATTAGTAAAATAAATTATTTTATCTTACTTATTTACTTAATTAATTTTTTTACTTATCAATAAATATTTGTGCTAAACTTATTTACTTCTAAGTAAATTTACATCATTTCCTTATTATTGTAAGATGGCCTGAAGACTCTAAACCCATCTCATAAAACGTATTATTTTAATCCGATTCACTTTAGGATTATTTTAATCCCGAAATTATGTGCAACAAATGCTGAATGACATGAAATTACTCATTATTCTGTCTAATAGGCACATCATTTGAATTAAATTTATTATATCTAACAAATTTGTAATCATGAATATTATAAATTGTGGAATCTTGTTAATATTTTTTTTTATCCTACAACAGAATATATTAGAGACCAAAAAACAAATTTAGCTTATTAGCTAAATTTAGAGTTGCTATAGTTTAGCAATTGCGTTAGCATTATTCTAAAATATGAGAGAGAGAGAGAGAGAGAGAGAGAGAGAGAGAGAGAGAGAGAGAGAGTGTTTTCGCATAGCAACAATAAAATGGCGATAATATCCAAATCAGACAGCGGGAAGGGGTAGGTCTGGGAGCCCCAATTTGTTTTTGAAGGAAAATAACATTATTAATGAAAATTCTTGTTTGTTAATATATTTTTTTTTTATCAACATATAAGCTCAGATTTTATTATTTATTTATTTATTGTTTTTTTTATCCCCCGACTTCGCCCCTAGATCCCTGTTTGGCTTAATTAAAAAAAATAAAAAAATAAGAGTTGAAATCAACAATTAATTTTAAACACTTTCATTAGGACTGGTCTTGTGATTGTCGGGGCCCTAGGCAAAACCTAAAAATTGGGACCCGCTCCCGAAATCAACGTAAATGCAATGAATAAAGGATATATGTATATATTTGGGTAATTGGACTAAGGCTAAGGGCATTGAATTGTATTTGGGCTTAAAGTTGTGGGCTGCATTTCTACATCACTGGGTTTGATTCAAGTTTAACTATAAAAGAGAGGGGGAAAAAAAAGTGGAAATTACACCCTTACAGGTGTTTAAAGATCAGATTTAAAAAATGAGGTATAAGTTTACTTTATTCAAAAATCAGGTTTTTAATATATAATATTAATCAATTTCCATCCAATTTGCAATTTAAAACCCTAATTATTTTCTCTCTCTTCATCCCATCTTCTCCTCTAAACAGATAGCCGCCCCTCTCTCTCTGCATCAACTCTTCACCGGCAGCAAACTCCGGCGTTGGATGTGGTGGATTGAATCGCCGGTGACTACAATCAGAGCTCCACAGATCTGTCCGATCAATGGCCGCTGTGTGCGATCGTCGCACTCTGTTCGTTATAGATCATGGTGTTCACATGTGGTTTTTTTTTTTTGCCATTGGTGGTGTCTTGTGGTGGTCGTGCAGTGATTTGGCGAGGTGGCGGTATTTTTGGTGGTGTCTACATCCTCTGCCGCGACTTTGGGATTTTATTGGGTGGAGATTGTAGCTATGTTGTGGTAGTGATGGAGGGTTGGTGGCATTGCTGAATCGTTGGTGGTGCATGTGATGGTGAGAAGGTGACGGCGTTGGCGGCTATGGTGCTACAGTGATGGTTAGTCGGTGCAGTGTTTCGTTGGTGCCGGTACCATCGCGGTGATTGTGATGTAGGGGTGTTTTTTAGTGATGGGTGTTGGCTTGTTTCAGGTAATGGTGTTGTTATGGGAGGTGGTGACGATGTTACTGTTGGTGTCGTAGTGGTGGTGGCGGCGGTGGAGGTGGGCGATGTCGCTGGTGGTAGTGGTGGTTGATGTTGTGCGATGGAATGTGACTTGCTATTTGGTGTATGTGACCAAGGATTCAACTGTGACTTAAAAATTTGATAATATGTGACCTAAAAATAATTTGAAAATCTGTGATCGACAAATAAATCGTGACCTTAATTTGTGATCGATGAATAATTCGTGATCAATTAATTTGACAATGTTTGATTTTGTGACCGAGGATTTAACTGTGACCTAAAAATTTAATAATATGTGACTGAAAAATAATTTTGGCCATATAATTTGAAAATCTATGGCCTGCAAATAAATTGTGACCTTAATTTGTGATTGATGAAATAATTCGTGATCAATTAATTTGATAATATGTGACTTTGTGACCTAAAAGTGCCATCTGTCACCATGAATTTTACATACGTGACTTTGTGACCTAAAAGTGCCATCTGTCACCATGAATTTTACATACGTGACCATAATATATTAAATTAATAAAATATTATTAATTAACTAATAAAAACCTGATTATTGCACTTTTAAACTTGGGGCATGCAATTTGAATTGGTCATACTTAAAAGGCTGAATTGTGAATTTTTCCCAAAAAAAAAAAAATTCTGGGCCCAAAGTGAAGCCCCCCTAGATATTGGGCCTGAGGCATAGGCCTCATTTGCCTAGCCTCAGGACCGGGCTTGACTTTCATGGTACTCATAACTTTTATCAATTTTTTAACCATGAATCTTATTAAATTTATTAAAAATATGATTTTTAACAAACCAAATAAAGACTTAGTAACACATCACATCTTTACATTTCATTATTATTGGGAAAAACTTTTCTATCTTCTATTTTTTTCATTTTTTGACATATTTACATTTTTTTTTACAAGGTGTCCAATTATTGACTAATCCTTGGGTCTGTGATCCGGCCCCTCTTCACACATTCCAGTTAATCGCGGGATGTGCCTCCAACTAGCCAGGATCCGAGCCCTCCCCACCTGATCTGCCAAAGTGCCAAGCAAGCCAATCCAAGTTGCACCTTGCCTTTCAAGAATAATCCTTGCCTTCTAAGATTTCTCTTGCGTTCCAAGAATAAATCCTTGCCTTCCAAGAGCCCCATGAATCGAACTCACGACCTCTGATCTGCCAGGTTTGACAGAGCCGGTCCTTTGCCAGTGGAGAAGTGCCTCGGAGGGCGACATATTTACATTTAATTACACCTTTGATTATGCAAAAGCAGCAAAACATCATTTCCATTCATTTCTATTTAATTTCTTTGTCAGGTGAAGGGTGTTCTCCTTATTTTTCCTCTTCCTATCCCATTTGAAAAGCAAAAGTTAATATCAACATTCATTCATAAACCTGGGGTGATTCCTTCAAAATCCAAAAAGCATCCGTTTGATCGCATACACGACATACTGAAATAGAAAACCAAGTTGTTCAAATATTCACCAACCACAAATCACTAATGCTTTCATCATAACTAAATAAAAAATAAATTGATAAAACGCGATTGTACATTAAAAAGGACAGAACACAAAGGTTTATATCTTAACAAATTGGTAAGAGAATAATTGATTTGATCATGATATCACTGACAAAAGGTAAAGGTATGAATAATGCTAATTTGCGGGACGTGAGATGCGATTTCAATTTCTACCTAAAAATGGAGACGAAATTTGGGGATTTTGGCAATAATTGGGGGTGAATTAATGAGGCTTGTTTGATAAAGAGATATAAGCTAACTAAATTGATTATTATTTTTTGAAGTAACGTCTTTTTTTTTTTTTTTTCATAAATCATTTTTACTGTATATATAGTAGTATTTTTGAAATAAAAAATGATGATATGTAATTTTTGATTATTTATTTAAAAGTACGTAGTCCACTTAATTTCCACTAATTAAAGCCACAAGAAAGTCCAATATATCAATAAAATCTCATTCCCATCTCTTCCCCGCTATCCAAAAAAAAACCTATTTGGGCCATTCTTAATGCCGTCGCCACTTATCTGTGTGTGTATAAATTGTAATTTGCTTTATATTTAATTGTTTTTCTATTAAATTTGCCCAATGATGGAAAAAATTAATGCATTGATGCGGCACGGTGGTGTTTGATTCATCGTGGGCCTTTGCGCATCACCGGAATAATCAGCTGCCTCCACCACCACCACCACCTCCTCCTCCTCCTATACTTTTTACTATTGATAGATAGATAGATGCACACACATACACTTGGTCGCTTGATTGTGATGGTGGTGTGTAAGAGGCCTCTGATGGATCCGCATCGGATTAGCCGTCTGGGATTCTAGAAGCTATGAGATCTGAGGGAGGGCTCTAATTTTTTAATTAAGGAAATTTTTTTATTTACTTGTAATATTATTTTAACGAGAATGTGTGGTTAAATAGAAGAGCGAGAAAAATGTATTTTGAAAGAAACGAGAATCAAATGAGTATTTTTATTTCTCCTAAAATACTTGCTTTGAGTTATTTCTAGGAAAGTAACTTACAAGTATGAACGCTACAAACAATTCAATGATTTGTAGGGTGTGCTGGAATTTTTATTTTTTGTTATTCTTTTGTCCTTGTAAATGAAAATCCATCTACTGGGAAGGTGATTTTCTGCATTTACAATCCATTGGAAGTTGTTATTGGGAATTGTTCAAGCTATGTTTAAACATTTGAATATTACTTTCAATATATATGATAGGCTACTTAAATCTCTTTAGGCACTTTATTTGGTTCATTGCTGGCTGTATTGAAATATTAATGCTTTCGTAGCAAGTTGATCAATTGCCTTGAAACATTACATTGTAAATAACTGCCTTCTGCTGAGATTAATTAACTTGATACTAATCATGGGAGCTGGTAGCAATAAAGCCAAGTACATGATCTCCTAAGAGTAAATGACGTTGCTACTTTCTCAGTAATGGTAAGAATCAATTCCATGTTTTTACTAATGTATATTTGGATTTTAAGCAATAGTGAAAGATAGACATTATGTGCTAATTACCCTAAATATCAACATTGAAGTTTCAATAATCTATAGTCTAGGGACTATACGAGTCAAAGTAAACAACAGTATTTTAAGATTGTTCAAACGGTGGGGCTGGTGGTGTGCTAGTAGAGAATTGATGCAATGATTTTACTTACTAAAGAAAGACTAATGTCTAGGAAGGTTGTTTCTTTGCATTCCGATCCCCTATACTTAAATCTGAAGAGACAAACTGGAGTAAAAATAGAGACCAACAATGAAAATATCTATTGAAGATGTATCCTTTCTTCTTGTCCTAGCATCCTTACTGTCCACCCTGAAGATTTCCTCCGCAATTGATACCATCAATACAACTCAGATCCTCAGAGATGGCGAATCCCTGGTTTCATCAGGTGGAGTCTTTGCACTGGGATTTTTTAGACCAGTAAACTCCACTAATCGGTATGTGGGAATATGGTACAACAATATACCAGGTAAAAGTGTTGTTTGGGTAGCCAACAGAGAAATTCCGCTAACAAGTATATCAGGCATCCTGAAGATTATAGAGCCAGGCATCTTGGTTCTCCAGAATGACACTAACAACATCATTTGGTCTTCGAAAATGACAAGAGTTGCTCAATCTCCAATTGTGCAGTTGTTGGACTCCGGAAATCTAGTCCTCAGAGAAGCAAATGACGATGATCCAGAGAATTTTCTTCGGCAGAGTTTCGATTATTTAAGTGATACATTTCTACCAAGCATGAATTTTGGCTGGAACTATGCAACAGGTATCGAGAGCTACCTGTCATCGTGGAAGAGCAATGAGGACCCAGCTCCAGGAGATTTTACACTTCACTTAGATCCAACTGGATATCCACAATTATTGATAAAAAGAGGTAATTTTACTATATATAGAATGGGAAATTGGAACGGTGTGCGATTTAGTGGAGAAACAGATGTGAGAGGTAAAAGATCCTTGTATGGATTAGTAATAATGAACAAGAACAAGACATACTATAGGGAAGACATTGTTGACCGATCAGCTAAGTCGAGAATTACGTTTAGTCAGAATGGTGTTTGGCAACGCTGGAGCTGGATTGATGGAACCCAGGAATGGGTCATTTCCCAGGTTTTACCATCTGAAAACTGTGATATTTACAGCACCTGTGGTGCTTATAGTAGTTGCAATATAACAAAAACTCCTATATGTACATGTCTCAGTAATTTTGTGCCAAAAGACCTAGATGGTTGGAATAGAAATGATTGGTCAAATGGGTGTGTTCGAAAGACCCACTTGAATTGCAAGGGTGATGTATTTTTGAGGTATTCTAGAATTAAATTGCCAGACTCACGATATTCCTTGTTTAAGGAGAGCATGACACTTGAGGAATGTGAAGTGGAGTGTTTAAAGAATTGCTGTTGTATTGCATACACGCAATTAGCTATTAGCAGCGAGAGAGGTGGGTGCTTGTTTTGGTATGGTGACTTGAGAGACATCAGAGAAATACCTTTTGATGGACAAGATATTCACATTAGAATGGTTCCTTCCGAGTTGGGTAAGAATATTAACAAACTTGCTGTAGATTCAGAAGGAAAGAGAAGAAAACTATTGATATTGAGTTTGACATCATTGATGGGAGTTGTTCTGCTAGGCATGAGCTTGATGCTATACTTTTGGAAGAGGGAGAAGAATGTTCCAAAGGGGAGAACAGGAGGTAAGCAACTTCTTGTATTTCGTGCTGAAGGAAATTAACGAAAATAGCAACGACAACATAATAAACATCACGTACATGGATAATACCTACAAATAATTATGAGAAGCGCACACACAGCCCAATAGGTCATTAATTTTTCTTTTCAACTACTCAGCTATTATATCCTCATATTACTCATTTTTCAGGAAGTATTATCAAAGATTTTGAGCTGCCATTGTTCGATTTATCTACAATTTCAAAGGCCATCAATAACTTCTCAATCAACAACAAGCTTGGACAAGTGGATATGGGCTTGTTTATAAGGGAAAAATGTGCACAATCTATACTGGGACAGTTCCTTTACAAAATTAGAGCAGAGGATGAATAAATGCTAAAAATTGTAAAATCCTGATAACTTTAAATACTTGCATCACTTAAAAAAATCCTCGTGTTTTTCAACCATTGATCATTTTTTTTTCCTGAAATAATCCGTAACATTTTCCTTCATCATAATATTCAAATATTTGCTTCTCTTGCTATAAGAGATGTTCTCCTCAAATTCAATTCACACGATATCAATGTTATCCGAGTAGGCGTTTTATCAGAGAGTGAAAGATTAATATCAGCTTTGTACATACATCTGTACCAATGTTCAAGTCCTTCTCTTGTATAGCCTAAGAGACATGTTAAACTAGAGTAAAACATGAATTCAGCTGACAAAAATCCTGCGCTACGTAAAGTTTCATTGAAGTGAATACCTTTTCAAATGCACAATTTATGGTCTTAGGGAACACTGGAAGACGGACAAGACATTGCTGTGAAAAGGTTGTCAGAAACTTCCATGCAAGGACTTGATGAATTCAAGAATGAAGTGATATGTATTGCCAAACTTCAGCATTGAAATCTCGTGAAGCTTCTTGGATGCTGCATTCAAGGAGAGGAAAAGATGTTGGTTTATGAATACATGCCAAATAAAAGCCTGGACTTCATTCTATTTGGCGAGGATATCTTACAATAGTACAGTTACCTTCATATTTAAATTTTATTACCGATATATAATGCCAATAAAGATTTAACCAGTAGCTTGAATATGAAGAGATCTGAAGATCGATGCTTAAATTCTCTGATTTAATCGTATAAATACAGAAATTTTTTTACTCATCATGACCAGCATAGCTTCAGAATACATTTTTTATAAGATCAAACACTACGATAGTAATCAGATTTATTTATTTATTTATTTTGGCCAGATCAAACAAAATGTAGGTTACTAGATTGGCCCAAGCGCTTTCATATCATCAATGGCATTGCTAGGGGGCTACTATATCTCCACAAGATTCTCGGATGAGAATTATCCATAGAGACCTCAAAGCAAGCAACATATTGCTAGATACTGACATGAATCCAAGGATATCAGATTTTGGCTTGGCTAGAAGTTTTAGTGGGAATGAGACTGGAGCTGAGACTGGAGCTAAGACTGGTCGGGTTGTGGGAACACAGTAAGAATCAATCTCTATGCAACAATATATCTAATGCATTTCCATTACTTATGACATTATTTCTTGTTTACGTTTTCATGCAGCGGTTACATGTCGCCAGAATATGTAGTGGAAGGCATAGTCTCTTTAAAATCAGATGTATTTAGTTTCGGTGTTTTAGTGCTAGAAATTGTAAGTGGAAAGAAAAATTAGGGATTTTCTCATAGTGATCACCATCTCAACCTTCGTGGACATGTAAGTATTTTTGTCTTACATGTATTGATGTGTGTTGTAAGTGAAAAAAAATGTACAGCGCATGTAATTACTATCATTAATAGTTTTATAAATTAAGATCCTCTTAGCATAATCCAACTGATACAGGCTTGGATACTTTACAAAGAAGGAAGGTCTAAGGAACTAGTAGACGCTTGTCCAGCTGATTCACAATACTTGAACGAAGCGCTAAGATCAATTCATGTGGGTCTGCTATGCGTGCAAAAATGTCCAGGGGATAGGCCAAGCATGTCAACAGTTGTTTTTATGTTGGGGAATGAAGGTGTGTTGCCTGAAGCTAACCGGCCCGGTTTTTTCACAGAAAGAGAGGTGTTTCATGCTGATTCAACTAGAACAAATGCAGCCAAATCATCATGCGAAATGACCATTACTCTTCCAGAAGGCAGATGAGAATATTATTGTATACTTATATTACATTATTTATGCAATCCTCGTTTCTTGCATTTCACCTTTTTTTCCTTCGTACAATTTTCCGGCCTTCGCGAAGGTTGTGTCACACATCTGTATGCGTTGATTTCTTTGTCGTGGGACCAAGTGTCAATGTTTCAAATTCGACCATATGATAGTACAGATGACAGTTCTTTTATGACACAACTATTACATTCAGCTTTGGCTAAACCAATGCATTTGCATTGGTATACATAATTTTAATGTATTGTACTCTCCTTGTTTGTAGACTCTCTATTCAAGGAGAACTACAAGTCGTTAATATTTTTATACTTCAACCAATGCGGGATTTTTTTACCTTTTATCATTCCCAAGCAAGATGGTTGCTCACTTGAACAACTCCAATCTTGGAGTCCATTTGAATTTTATGGAGATTGAATTGCTCGTTTGAACTTAACGAACTCTGATATTGTATTAAGACTTAGAGTATCACCCGAGTAGCTCAGAATCTTATAAATTGGTTAGTGTTTTTATACTTAACTAACGTAATGTTTTATTTTAACATAATAATTATTTTAAAAAAAACATTTGTAGAGCGTTGCTGGATGTCCATAAATGAAATTAGTTTGCTTGCTCTATCCAACTCTGTTTCGTCACAAGCTAAAAGAAAAACGTAATCGGTCGCCAGAAGAACTAACATGACATTCTGCAGCTGTTTAAGTAGTTTTCGTAAATGCGAATTCGAAGACTTAAACAAGACAGACCTTGCAAATATAAGGTGAATTTAAAAAAAATAATAAAGAAAAGAAAAGAAAAAACAAATTCAAAACAACTGGAAACCTTAAAAACCCAATTTATAAATGAAATGAAAGAACTACTAAAGCCAAATTATGATAAAATATTTTGTAGACCTATATGCAACACACATACTTTAATTCAGCATGTATAAAATTAAACAGAAAAGATACAGGAAAATTGAAAATCACATTAGAGATTATTTACCTTATTCTGAGTGGAGAGGACAGAATTATTCCATGAAATGTGCGAGGATTTCGTCCTCATCATCAGAAGAATTAAAAAATACAGAAATTTGAATATCAAACAGATATATGGATGTTTATATATAGGCGGGTAGGCGTTGACGGGGAGAATGCCCACCGGCAATTCCAGGCGAGAGCAGCGAATCTGGTTGTTTACACAAACGAAAAATAAAAAAATAATATGTTTTAGAAAAAAATTTGCAGCTAGGCCCCAAACCTTCACAAAGAGTGTAAGTGGGTTCCAAACATTTATTTTTTTGCAGACGCAAGTCAGTATACTAGAGGAATTGCTCAAAGCCTACACGAACTTAGAACCACACGTTTCTTTGAATCATTGTAGCATACTTCCACATATCCGCTTAGTGGAAGGTCTAAGTAGAGAAAGTGGATGCTTGCTTTGCTTTGCTTTGCAGATTTGAATTTATATTAGGGTATCTCCAACCATTGCACCACTTTTTGGTGCAAAGTTGCTCCAATACAATACAATACAAAACTTTGCACCATTTTGGTGCAAAAATGGTGCAAAGTGTAAAATGTCTCTTTTGTCCTTATTTAACATTTTCCAAATAAATTTGTTAATGATATTTATGTCATTTATGCTACATATTTTTTAATACAATAAATTATTATTAATATTAATATTTTTTGTATTTAAAATAAATTTTAAATGTAAGACATAATAACTAATAAATTAATTAAAAGATGAAAACAATTTAAAATACCTCAAACACGATTATTTATTAAAATTAACACGAAATATATTAAATAGCGACATACATACGATAATCTAATTTTATTTTTAAAAAAAGGATACATAAAAAGTGCATAGTTCAATAATCTTGAAGATCACTTCATAGACAAATCAAGGATAAAGAAAATCGATCATTTTCAGGAATTCCTTGCTCGTCATAGACAAATCAAAGATAAAGAAACTCACATTGCACTTCGAAATGCATTAATCGATCATTTGTGGGATAAACATATGAATTCTGAGAATTAAATTACAAAAATTTAGTGACTTCGTAATATCGTCTATCCAAATTCGAAATGTATTGTACTATTTTCTGATGGCATGATTTCATATTTTTGTTGTTATAATATTTTTATTAATTGTTCTATGTTTTTTATATTTATTAATGAATTTAATCTTTTCCGATTTATTTAGTAATTTATGTATTTATGAAATAATTAAATAAATAATATTTCAAATAAATAAATTATAAAAAATAAAAAAAGGGAAGAAAATTGTTAAACACTGTTCATTTGGTGTAATGGTTGGAGATGAATTTTAGTTTGATGCAAGATTTTGTACAAATTTTAGTGCAAAACGGTGTAAAATTTGATGTAGGATTGGAGATGGGCTTAGAATGACTTCTACAGAGTTGGGTAAAAATTCAAAATAAATATTGAGAACTCATACTTCATAGGAGAGTCATTTCACGTTCTTAAACTTGCACGGATCCTCAAAACAATTACTAATGAATCTTTCTTTGAGAAATTATCTTTTCTTAAAATAAATGAATTCTTTACGCAACTCAGAAAGTGTTTATACTTGGTTATGAAAGTTTTTGTTTTTGGCATCATATGCTACAAGAAATAGTAATAATGTTCAAACATTAATTTTCGTGAAAAGTTCGAGCAGACACTTGACTATTGGGCCAGCTCTATATATATAAAAAAAAAATTAACAAAATAAATCTAAAAACAAGCAGAATATATCGTACTCATGAGCTGGCTTGCAAGCTCATGCCCATGAGCTCAAACGAGCCGGCTCGTGGCCCTCAAGAGCGGAGTTTGGGCTCGAGAAAAATAACGTAAGCTAAATGTAATTGAGGCCACTTAAATCACAACAATAATGTTGGAAGGGTCCATCCTTCGAACCGACTAAAATGGTATTTTCCTTCGTGGATTCTTGATACAAATTTGTTTATTATTAAAAGACCTCAAAGCAAGAAACATATTCCTAGATATTGTATGAGCTCAAGGATATTAGATTTTGGTATGGCTAGAAATTTTTGAGGAAATGAGACTTAGTCCCTATTTGGTTTAGATTAAAGTCCGATTTTTAGTAAATTTTGAAAAAAGTTAGTGAAATGTATAGTTCAAATGTCGTGAGTCCATAAATATTATAGTTAAAATTAATTATTGATCTTTAGTTAAATTTTAATCAAAGTTTTTAGAACATAATAAGAATCTCTATGCAACAATGTATTTAAAGCTTTACCATTGCTTGCAACATTATTTTATGCAACAGCTACATATCACCAGAGTATGAAGTGGACAACTTGCTGTCGATAAAATCAAATGTATTTAGCTTTGATGTCTGGGTACTAGAAATTGTGAGTGAAAAGACTAATTGGGAATTTTCTCACAGTGATCATCAACTTAACCTTCTTGGGAATGTAAGTGTTTTGTCTTAAGGGTATTAATATGTGAAATTAGAGCTATTAATATTCATAGAATTAAGGTCCGCTTAGGGATGTAGTGGCGAAAGAGATAAAATGATAAACGAACACGTTATTGAAGTTTTGTTGATTTCAAACAAATACCGTAACATGATCACTTTTCTAGTTTCTATTGATTCTTAAGAATAATAGAAATTCAAACATAACTCTTTGATTTGTACACGAATACAATGAATTTGTACTCATTGATTTTAAATATCAAATACTGAGAATTTAAACAATGAAAACCTCCAAAGTCTATTTTATTTCAAAATTTAAAATATTGAAAACTCCAAAACATATTTGATTTCAATTCAAAAACTACTTACTATCCTCATTTAAAGCAATAACTAAAAATTAGAGAACGACTAAAATCAAGATTGAGACAAAAACTAAAAAGAATGACTAAAATTAATGATGAAGAATCAATCTTCATCAAGATTAAGTCAATGTTTGGTGGGAATTAAAATCAAATTTTTAATAGATCTTAATAAAAGTCATTGAAATGTGTGTATGAGTTGTGAGTTCCATAAAATATGTAATTAAAATTAATTATTGACATCGTTTTAAAATAAAATCTTGATTTTAATTTTCATGAAACAGGAGCTAAATTTAGATAAAGATTGAAATTAAAGATAATGACTATAATTAATGACAACCACTCAATCTTCATTATTTTCCTAACGATTGATGTAGATTCATCCTCAAATCTTACACCGTATTCTCTATCCAATTCTTCGTGACAAGAACAATCTATTTGATAGCTCTTAGAAACGTTCATAATTAACTGCTTCGTTCAATTTCATTAAAAGTAACATATCTATCAGGACATCAATAGCAACTTCATGCTCAATCAACCATATTTCTATAAGATCATAATATAAAAACAAGTGTTCCAAGGTGAAAGACATAGTTGTCGCCTCTTCACAAAATTAGCATGAGAAATGCACACACATCCCAACAGGTCAATACTTTCTCTTTTCAACTACTCAGCTATTATATCCTCATATTACTCATGTTTCAGGAAGTATTAGCAAAGACTTTGAGCTGCCATTGTTTGATTTATCTACAATTTCAAAGGTCACCAATAACTTCTCAATCAACAAGAAGCTTGGACAAGGTGGATATGGGCTTGTTTATAAGGTAAAAATGTACTGGGACAGTTCCTTTAAAAAATTAGAGCAGAAGATGAAAAAATGCTAAAAGTTGTAAAATCCTGATAACTTTAAATACTTGCATCACTTAAAAAATCCTCATGTTTTTTGACCATTGATCATTTTTTTCCCTGAAATTATCCATAACATTTCCTTCAGCATAATATACAAATATTTGCTTCTCTTGCTATAAGATATGGTCTCCTCAAATTCAATTCACACAATATCAATGTTATCCGAATAGACATTTTATCAGAGAGTAAAAGATTAATTTCAACTTTGTACATACATTTGTACCAATGTTCGAATCCTTCTCTTGTATAGCCTAAGAGACATGCTAAACTAGAGTAAAAGATGAATTGAGCAGACTAAAATCCTGTGCTACGTAAAGTTTCATTGAAGTGAATACCTTTTCAAATGCACAAGTTATGGTCTTAGGGAACACTGGAAGACGGACAAGACACTGCTGTCAAAAGGTTGTCTGAAACTTCCCTGCAAGGACTTGATGAATTTAAGAATGAAGTGATGTGTATTGCCAAACTTCATCATCGAAATCTCGTGAAGCTTCTTGGATGCTGCATTCAAGGAGAGAAAAAGATGTTGGTTTATGAATACATGCCAAATAAAAGCTTGGACTTCATTCTATTTGGTGAGGATATCTGACAGTAGTACAGTTACCTTCATATTTATATTTTATTACTAGTATAGAATGCCATAATAAAGGTCTAACCAATAGCTTGAATATGTGGATATCTGAAGATCAACGCAAGTATGTAGTTAAGTTCTCTAATTTAATTGTATGGATATAGAAAAATTTTACTCATCATGACCAGCATAGCTTCAGAATACTGTTCTATTATAAGATCAAACACTGACAATAATTAGATTTTTTTTTTTTTTTAAATGTAGGTTACTAGATTGGCCCAAATGCTTTCATATCATCAATGGCACTGCTAGGGGGCTAATGTATCTCCATCAAGATTCTTGGATGAGAATTATCCATAGAGACCTCAAAGCAAGCAACATATTGTTAGATATTGACATTAATCCAAAGATATCAAATTTCGGTTTAGCTAGAAGTATGGGGAGGGGGGGGGGGGCTCCATCCAACAATATATCTTATGCATATCCATTACTTATGACATTATTTCTTGTTTACGATTTCATGAAACAGTTACACGTCGCCAGAATATGGAGTGGAAGGCATATACTCCATAAAATCAGATGTATTTAGTTTTGGTGTTTTAGTGCTAGAAATTGTGAGTGGAAAGAAAAATTGGGGATTTTCTCATAGTGATCACCATCTCAGCCTTCTTGAACATGGTAAGTATTTTTGTCTTACATGTATCGATGTGTGTTGCAAGTGAAAAAAAATGTACAATGCATGTAATTACTATCATTAATAGTTTTATAAATCAAGGTCCTCATAGCCTAATCCAATTGATACAGGCATGGATACTTTACAAAGAAGGACGACACTTGTCCAACTGATTCAGAATACTTGAACGAAGTGCTGAGATCAGTTCATGTGGGTCTGCTATGCGTGCAAAAATGTCAAGGATATAGGCCAAGCATGTCTACAGTTTTTTTTTTATGTTGGGGAATGAAGGTGTGTTGCCTGAAGCTAAACAACCTAGTTTTTTCACCGAAAGAGATGAATTCCCTGCTGAAAGTTCAACTAGAACAAATGCAGACAAATCATCATGCAAAATGACCATTACCCTTCCAGAAGGCAGATAAGAATAGTGTTGCATACTTATATTACATTATTTTTGCAATCCTCATTTCTGGTTAATTTCCTATTTATGCAAGGCCATAATGGCGCTAAACGAGAATGTGCAAAACTTGGGACACTTGATACTTGTGTGTATGATCTCACTGGTATCATCGTAAGGAATAATATATGTTCAAAACTTTCATGCTACCTAGGATTTCGATGATTACTTTGTGAGATTTATACTAAGATTGGATTTAAATAAAAAAGATATCCATACTTTATGCATAAGTACCATTAAACTAGAGTTTGTATTCATTTTATATTTGAACAAGTGGAGGATTGTTGGATATTCGTTCAAATTAACAATGGGAAATGATATTGAAAGTGATGGAAGTAGTTAATCATGAGAAAAATAAGCGAAAACAAAACATGAACAAAAAATGGTGAAGGCTGAAGAATGGCTTGGGTGGCCGCCCGGCCTTGTTTTGTAATTATAGTGGCCATTTCATTGAACTGGGTGGGTGGTCGATTTTGGCACTGAATATAAAAAAATTTGACTGTTGGCTGTTTGAATTCTAATGTTATTTCAAAGTGTTTCACACGCTTTTGGCTTAGTTTTTGCATCTTTTCATGTATGGTGATTGTAGCTCTATATATATGGATGGTTTTCATGTTGGAAAATATATCACGAAGATAAAATTGATTCCATTACATCCAAAATCTAAGTTCAAACCAAGTTTTTATATTTTTTGTTCTTTAGTTTCCTTTTCCAAGTCTTGTTTGCTTGATTCAAACTTGGATTAAGGTTTGTTTATTCTTATAAACTATTTTCCATAAAGCCTTCAAACACTTACCTCGGTGACGATAAATATCGTTTGAGGACATCGATTTGTAATCGTGTTCAAATCTTCCATTTTGGCAATTTTTTGCTGGTCTTATTTTCATTCTCCATCAACTTTGTTCAACATCTAAATTATTACTATAGTTGTGACATTATTTTCTAGTTAATGCTTTTATGCAATAGCTACACGACTCTAGTATGTAGTGGACAACTTGCTCCCAATAAAATCAGATGTATTTAGCTTTGATGCCGTGGTACTAGAAACTACAAGTGAGAAAAAAAATGGGATTTTTCTCATGGTGATTACCAACTCAACATTCTTGGACATTTAAGCCTTTTTGTGTTATGGGAATTAGTATGTGAAATTACTTCCATTAATATTTGTAGAAAATAAGGCCCGCTTATTGATGTACTATTGAAAGCAATAAAATGATAATCAAACATATTACAAAGTATTATTAATTTCAAAGGAATGCAGTAGCATGGGCACTTTCTAGTTTCTGTTGATTACTAAAAATACTAGAAATCTAAGCATAAAAAACTCTTTAATTTGCACAGAAATACAAAGAATTTGAACTTATTGTTTTTAAATAGCAAATACCGAAAATTTAAAAGATTGAAAAACTTTAAAGTCTATTATGTCAATTCAAAAGCTGCTCACTGCCATTAAGGCTTATGACTCTTATTTAAAGCAATAACTAAAAATTAGGTAAAGACTAAAATTTAGATTGAGAAAAAATTAAAAATAAAGAGTAAAATTAATAATGAGGAACCAATCTCTATCAAGACCAAATCTAGATAAAGATTCAAATTAAAGATAATGACTAAAATTAGTGATGAAGGCTCAATTTTCATTATTCTCCTCCGATTGACAAAGATTCATCCCCGAATCTCACACTTTGTTGTCCATACAATTCCTTGTGATAAGAACAATATATTTGATAGCTCTATTAAACGCTTATTATCCACTTCATTCAGTTTCATTAAAAGTTAAATATCTATATATAGCAACTACATACTCAATTGACTAAATTACTTCAATATCAAAATAGAAAAATAAGTGTTCCAAAACCAAAGACATAATTGTCGCCTCTTTCACAAAATTAGCCATGTCATACAGACACATCCTTGACCAAAAGCATGGAATCTTGGATCTATAGTTTTCATATTGAATTTTTCTTTCTTGAATTTCTTGGACAATTCTTCAAATATTCGACATGCGTCTTGTTACAAGTAATTGGAACATGATTAGATTTGCCATTATCCAAATTGAAAAATTCTTCATTCTCTTCATCAAAAATCAAAGGCCAATATTCCATGTCATTACCCAGATTCAGAAATTTTTTAGTTTCTTCATTGAAGATTTCGGAACCGTCAAAATTCAAATTAAAAAGTTCTTCCATCTTTGAATTTTCAAAGGAATAAAAGAGTTTCATACCAAAACATAACTTCTGCCATTGTATCATACGAACATCAACTCATCTCTATTAGGAACGAATCTTGCTCTAATACCGATTAATGTAGTGGTGGAAGTGCTAGAAATAAATAAAAGGACATGCTATATAAGTTCTGTTGATTCTAAATCAATATTGCAACACGATCACCTTCTAACTATTTTGATTCCTAAATTACCAGAAATCTAGGCTACTAGAGCTCCTATATTCATGCACGAATATAAAAAATTTGGACTCTTTGATTTTAAGTATGTTGGCTTACAACCCTTATTTTAAACAATAACTGAACGATAGATAAAGCTAGAATTAAAAGTAATGACTAAAAATAAAGATGAATACTCAATATTCGTAAAGACTAAAATTAAAAATAATGATCAAATTAATGATGAAGACTCATTTCAGTCTTCATCACCTAGCCTAATCCAATTTATACAGGCATGGATACTTCACAAGGAAGGTCACTAGAACTAGTTGATACTTTTCGTGCAGATTGACATTTCTGAGATCAATCAATGTGGGTCTGTTATGCATGCAAAAATATCCTTGAGATAGTCCAAGCATGTCTACAGCTGTTTTCATGTTGTAGAGTGAAAGCTAAATGGCCTGCTTTTTTCGCAGAAAGAGATTCATATCACGTTGAAAGTTTAGCTTGGACAAACATAGCCAAATCATTGAACGAATTAAGTGACTATTCCACAGCTAGATGCAAGATAGGGATTGGTATTTACGCTATCTTTGTTTCTTGCAATTCATGTGCTCTTTCACCCATAAAGTTTTCTGGTCTCTACAAAAGGTTTTATGTATCATAACATTTACACAAGTAGAATGTTGTATTAGCTATACAATGACATTTGTAAATGTTGCTTTTTGTTTTGTTAGTCACATTTCTGACTAGTCTGTCTTTTTTTACTAGTCCTGTAAGATTTTTTAACAAATATGATCATTTCGTTATGCAAAATCACTATATCGCAATTTTATTAAAATATACTCTAGGGAAATCTAAATAAAGTTGTCAAGGAAGACTAGAACGTCTAAATGGACCAGAAACTCTGGTCAACATTGATTAAATTTGAGAAGAATGTCTACAAGATTCCAAACTTATACAAAAATGAACAGAGAATTGATGTAGGGTGAATAATTCAATAAATATAACAAGAAGAGATGGGGGAAGGGGGGGAGAAGAAGAAGAACAGAGGCGGGGGAAGAAGAGAGGAAAACGACTATAGCCAACTTTATTATTTAATTAAATTCATCAACTGAAAAATAACAATGTAAAATAGGTTTAAATACTGAAAAATACTGCAAACCTAGGGCCAAGCCCAATACACAAGTCCAAAAAAAAAAAAAAAAAAACCTAAGTCCAACTAAAATAATTAAAACTGGATTGGGATGTCCTCATCAATTCTCCCGGAGTAGGAGAGAAAACTCGACCCTGTCGAGTGTCTATATCACCATAGGCATCCGTCAATCTCCCAACCATAGGCTGAGTGGCTGGGCAAGCTTCTTCTGGCGTCTGTAGAAATGCGTCAGTGGCGGTCTAAACCTGGTGTCCTCACCAACTCCTCTCGGGTGGATGGGAGGCGATATGGGCCAATGAAGATCTTGCTGACTCCGATAAAACTCTAACAAATCTGGGTCCAATTGCTGAAGTGTCTCCCTGGAGATCCATGCACAGTCACAATCTGATCGACCAACCCAACGAACAAGGAAGCGCTGAACCTCTCCATCATTAGTGAACACAGTTTCTTTATCTAAAATAGCATCAATTTTTTGTGTGTGCTGTGAGAGGTGGTAGTGGGTTAGAAGGGGTCAAAGAATCAAGGTCAAGGTCCACAATAAGAGATGACAGAGGATCATCTGAGAAAATGAAATGACCTTTATAAGCTACAAGGTCCTCAACATTGAAAGTAGAGTGGTAACCAAGGTGTGGTGGAATGTCAACAATATATGCATTTGGACCAACCTGCTTTAAAATTTTAAAAGGACCAGCACTACGAGCTTGCTATTTAGAGGCGGGTCCATGTAGACGCCGCTCTGGCCTAATGCGAACCATAATGTAATCCCCAATGTTAAACTCAATATGTCGTTTGTGTAAATAAGTTTGGAGTTTATATTTTGCATTACTAGCTTCAAGTTGTTTATTGATCTCAATATGCAAGTCACGAAGATGTTGTGTAAATGCTTCGGCTGATACTGACACTCTAGCCTGTGGGGACATAGGGATGAGATCTAACGGTTTCCTAGGCTTGTACCCATGAACGGCTTCAAATGGACTCATACCTAGTGAACGATTTATAGAGCTATCGTACGTAATTTGAGCTACAGGAAGGATCAAATCCCAAATTTGAAGGTTTTCCCGGACCAGACAATGTAATAGGTTACCAAGACTTCGATAAACTACTTCAATTTGACCGTCAGTCTGAGGGTGGTAGGCCGTAGAAAATTTTAATTTGGTACCCATCTTGTGCCACAAAGTTCTCCAAAAATGGCTAGTGAAACGAACATCCCTATCAGACACGATGGTCTTGGGAAGCCCATACAATTTGACAATTTCATTAAAGAATAACAGGGCAACCTTGGACGCATCCGACGTCTTGCTACAGGGGATAAAATGAGCCATCTTTGAGAAGCGATCGACAACCACAAAAATGGAGTCATGCTTCTTTGGGGTGCGTGGAAGTCCTAACACAAAATTCATACTAATATCTTGCTAAGGACAATTAGGGAC